ATTATGACAGAACAGCTGAGAAAATACCAAAAAACTAATTAAATCAAAACATTAAGTTAATTTATTGCCAATCAAAAGTCAGAATAAGATCATGAGAAATAAGAACAATCTTAAAACACCTCCCCCCCACCCCTCCCTTCTTGCCAGTCTCAAATTCACTCCCAATTCTCTCTACCTCCTCTCCCCAAGTGTCACAGGGGGACAGGAATGGGGGCTGCACTCAGTTCATCAGACATTGTTTCTGCCGTTACTTCTTCCTCAGGGGGAGGACTCCTCACACTCTTACCCTTCCTCAGCGGTCCCTCCCACAACAGGCAGTCCTCCATGAACTTCTCCAACATGGTTCCTTCACACGGGCTATAGTTCTTCATGAATTGCTCCAGCATGGGTCCTTTCCATGGGTGTGGTCCTTCAGGAGCAGACTGCTCCAGCATGGGTCCCCCACAGAGTCCCACCAGCAAAACATGCTCCAGCGTGGGCTCCATCTTCATGGGGTCACAGGTCCTTCCAGGAGTCTGCTCTAGTGCAGGATCTCCATGATGTCTCAGCCTCCTTTGGGCACATCCACTTCCTCAAGCGTGGGGTCCTCTCTGGGCTGCAGGGGGACAGCCTGCCACACCATGGTCTTCACCATGGGCTGCAGGGGAATCTCTGCTCTGGTGCCTGGAGCACCTCCTCCCCCTCCTTCTACACTGACCGTGGTGTCTGCAGGGCTGTTTCTCTCACATATTCTCACTCCTCTCTCTGGTTGTTATTTTTTCCCTTCTTAAATATGTTTTCACACAGGCACTTCCAATGTGCTTGATTGGCCTTGGCCTTTCCAGCGGCCTTGGCCAGCGGTGGGTCCGTCATGGAGCCAGCTGGCTCTGCCTCTATCAGACCTAGGGGAAGCTGCTAGCAGCTTCTCACAGAAGCCAACCCACTGCGCAAACCTTGCCATTGCAAGCCTAGTAGACCCTTCCTGAAGACAGGAGTGACATGTGATTTCTTCCAGTCTTCAGAGGGCTGTATTCTGTGCACACCTCAACTGAGGCAAGAGGAATCGTACCACTCATGCATTTGTGGCAGGCATTGGAGGGAGCTGAGTCCCTGTGTTGGTTGCACTCAATGCCTTGACAAAAGCAGTGGTAGTTTGGTTCAGGCTGCAAAGGAGGTAAAGGCCTAAGCCATAACCGGGACAAGAGCTTTGCCAGAACTTCCAATCTGTTCCCTGAAAATCCACAAAAGAAGAGCATGACATGGTGAGCATTAATGCATATTTGCTTGGAATCTGGAACACCAGTCATGCAATTCAGACACGAATAACCGCTGGTTCCTCCAAGGCTCATTTATCAAGGAACAAAGAAAGGGGTGGGTACAAGGAGTCTCCTGCAGACCTTTTCCATCACATGTAATTGGACTGCAAGCCATCCACTTTATCCCATAAATATGGCTGCACATCAGTGATCTTTTCTTGAGGCTGACAGACCTCTGACCAGCTGCAGACCTTTGGGAAGTGACTGGCATCGCGCACAACCTTGTATCACAGGGCACTAAGATTTTGCATCAGTAACTTTGATTCTCTATTGGTAACTTTGAATCACCGTTGTGTCCTCTGTGCAGTGAGGAATGCAGTGAACCTCACCATCAAACTTAAATTTCAATAAAACCACTTTTGCTGCTGCCTTTGGCAGTGGTTCTTGAAGCAGCCTAAATCACCCATCCGTGAAAAATTGGCGTGGTTATCAGGATTCTAGATCAGGACCCACACAGGAGACCTTTATTCAGCCATACCATATGTAGAGAAGGTTGATGAGATGGAGAGAGACATTTTACCAGGACCTGTATATATGCTGGATTGGTTTTCCTTGCAACTTGGGTGCCATTTCTGGGTGTCCAAAGGAGAAGGGGACTGGATTTACCCAGGGTAGATTGTGCCTGGCCATCCTCTTTGATTTCGCTGAAGAAGGGACAGAATTTCTTGATGGGGGGAGAGCAGTGGTTGTCTTTTACCTGGAAGGCAGAAAGGCTATCAGCATTATTCCCCACAAAGCTCCTCTGCCCAAGTGAGGACATTATGCTTTGTATGGGTGGATAAGTAGATGGGTAAAAAATCAGCTGGACAGTTGGGCTCAGAGGAACTTGGTCAAGTCATAGTATTCTGCCCAGGGGACTGTAGCTAGTAGGGTCCTGTCACGTTTCAAGGGGTCTGAATTACCCAAAAGAGATGAGAAAATGCTTTTTCATAACATTTGTAGATGACACCACATTGAGGAGAACAGACAGTATTTGGATGGCAGGGTTGCCATCCTGAGGGACTTAGGTTGGAAGAATGGGCCAATAGTAATGTCATGTTATTCAACAAGGACTGGTCTAAAGTCCTGTCCTTGAGGTTGAGTAAGGTCCTGCAGTGACAGAGGGCAAGCACTCTGTAGGTTGGCATCAGCTTTGCAGGAAAGGCTCTGGTGGTCCTTCGGTTTCAATAGGCAAAACACAAGCCATCAGCAACAGCCAAAGGCATCCTGGTCGGTATGAAGAGGAGCACAGCCAGTGGAAGCAACTATCGCCCTTTGGCCAGCAGATTTTAGAACAGATCCAGAATGCTTCCCTAGGTTAGGACCTCCTGCAATGCCTGAGACATTGGTAAACTGGAGCCTGTTCAGTGGAGAGCCACCAGGGTAGTCAGGATGTCAGCACTTGTACTGTGAGACAAAGCTTAAAGAGCTGGGCTTGTCCAGCCAGCAGAAAGGAAGATCCTGGGGGGACATGCATCAGCATGGCACTGTACCTAAGGAGATGGAGTCAGGCTCACGTCCGTGGTACAAGACACAAGGACTAGAGGCAATGGGCTGAAACAGAGAGGGTCAGGTTACATAGAGTGAGAAATTTTTCCAACACAATGAGAGTCAAATGCTGAACACTGTTTCCCAGAGAGTTTGCACCAGCTCTATCCTGGAAAGCAAGCCAGATGTGTTTGGATAAAGCCCCAAGTAATCTGGTCTGATCCTGCATTCAGCACGAGGTTGGTTGAGAAACCTCCCAAGGTCCCTTTGAGCCTGAATTATGCTGTCCTGCCTTCCCGTTCATGCCTTCAAACTAGGGAAAGCTCTCAGGTTCTCCCTGACCACACAAACCATTCACACCAGGGGCGGGGCTGCTTCACATGTTCCCCCAAACAGCCCTGATCCCATCCTTTGCTTCCCTCTTCTTTTCCTCCTGCCCAAGTTGTTCTCTGTTACCTCACAAAAGAACAGCCTACCATGTTCATCCTTTCCCGATTCGCCCTGCAGTTCTTGGTTTGTACCCTCTTATGGTACTTCTGAGATGGTTGCTGTTGTGGTTTTGGCCATTTTACACACATCTTTCTCTCTATTACCTGAGGAGTCCAACATGTCCCTGTATTGCTACCTTGCTAAAGGCATTGGAACACAAATGCTGGCATGTTGGCGTTTCAGTCCAGAGGGACCTTCACAGCCTTGTGGCTTTGGCCACCCGAAACCTCTTGAAGTTTTTCAAAGTGAAGGGGGCAAGGTCTGCCCTGGGAGCAGACAAACCCCGTGCACGAGGACCAGCTGTGATGTGACTGGCTGAGGAGTGTCCTGAGGAGAGAGGCATGAGAGTTATGGCATATGAGCTAATGACTTTCCGTGATGTGACTGGCTGAGGAGTGTCCTGAGGAGAGTTATGGCATATGAGCTAATGACTTTCCCATTTGGAAAAGATAATGGAGAAACTGGAGAAGGTCCAGAGGAAGTCTGTCACGATGGGCTTAGAAAGCTAAAGCACATGAGCTGTGTGGAGAGGCTGAGGCAACAGGGCGTCTTTAGTCTGCTGAAGTGGGTGCACAGGGCAGTCTAAAAGCAGATGACACCTGCCTGGAGAGGTGGTGGAGCCAAGCTCTTCTGCAATGGCAGATGGTATGGCAGAGGCAACAGCCACAAACAGCATCCTGGGAGCTTCACACTGAGCCTTAGGGAAAACCAGACAGAGTGTGGCGCTGTGCTGCAGCAGGACCCCCAGAGACACTCTGTCATCTCCGTCTGTGGAGGTTTTCAACTTTCAGCCAACCTGATCCTGGGATTGGTGATACCCCACCCTTTGATGGGAGGCTGGACCTCAGGTCCCAGCACTCCCTTTCCCAAAAGCCCTTCCATGAGCCTGTGCCTTGCAGTGTGCCTCAGGAGAAAGGATTCAGCTGGAGATGGGGGTCTTCACAGCAGAGGGTCATAGGGAAGTAGGGAATGCACTCCTTATTTGTCTTTGCTTGTGTGCAGAGTTTTGCTTTACCTACTAACCCCACCTTTATCTCAGGAGTTTTCTCATGTTTAAACCCATGAGTTTTCTCACTTTTACCTTTCTGATTCTCTCCCCCATACTGCTGGTGGGGAGCGAGCGGCTGTGTGGCGCTTAGTTGTTGGCTGGGGATAAAACACAACAAACAGAAACTCCAGAGCTCTCTGGGCCCCTATTCCTGTTCTGAGTTGTCCCCCTGGTGATTTTTTTTTTTTTAATTATTCTTTATCTCAAGTTAGTCGCGCATTACACAACTCAATGCCAGACATCATAGCAGGGGAAGATGACCTTCATGTCTTTTAACTTTCTTAAGCTGATTCCATGCAGGGCCACTGTAGACAGTCCCTGGGGCCTAGCAAGTGATTTCTAAGCCCTGAAGGTAGTCACCTCTACATCCATGGCCATCACCCTCTGGGGCTTATTCAGTACTGACTTTGACTATTTCCCTTTAACGTTACGTTGGTCAGGCACAGATTGAAGTAGCTGTTGGCATTAAATTATTTAGGGGCACTGACAAT